TAAAAGATATGTAAATGTGAAATGGTCATTAACATACTGTATGTTTATTTTTTATCTTTGTTCTGTTATATTGGTTCAATAAAAAAATGCCATGTTGGATGTCGCAGTTACGACGCAGAGGCGCAAGTCGATGATGTAATCTGTACTGTCCCAATTCTCAATTTTTTTGCACACTTGTAACCTGCGCACTCGAACACTTATGTGCACTTCGACTGAATCCACACTTCACAGAGCGGCGTTGGGTGCACACTGAGCATTGGGACTGGGCCAATTTATAAAGTCTAATATTCGAACAAATTTGAAGGATCGATGTACTTCAGTCAGAGGAATAAGTCTGTGGAATGATGTGGAAAGTGGTTATAAAAATGCTGGCTCAATAAATTTATTTAAGAGAATGATAAAAGTTAGATTGTTGAAGAAAAATGATTTTGTATAATGTGCATTCAAATGACCTGTTCAAGAAGGAGTTGGAAGTTTTTTGTTGTCTTTTGTTGACTGTTGTTTGAATTAATTTATTTTTGGAAAAAAGGGGCAGATGTTAAGATTTTTTCTTGTTTTTGCTACCTTTCATTTTATTTTTGATTTGTATTATTTGTTTATGTGTAGTATTCGTTTGTAAATAAAAATGAATAAAATATGTTTAAAAAAATAACTCCACGCTCCACATCAGTAGGTGGCGGTAATGCACCTTATATTTGTTTGCCAACCACGAAAAAAACACGAAGAAAGTGGCAAAACTTTTCCAGACGAATGATAAAATGATTCTGAGGCATTCCCGATGTTTGTTAGACATCCRTGTCCGTAGGTGACAGAAATGTACCCGCTGCAGTGAGAGGCGAGCCGTGTTGATGGATTCAGGCTGAGTTTGAAACCTACCAGCCTCCACTTCTCCTTTTTAAAGATAACAAACATTAGCTGTGCTAATGGCGGAGTATGGAGCTAACATCACTGGAAAACTGCCCATTTCTCGAGTTGCTCCTGTTCAGAGGAGAAAGAAAGGCAGACGGAAGAAGACCGAAGACGAAAAGCAAGCTCAAAAGAAGGAAATAGACCGAGCCCGGAATAAAACCAGGATCAACATCGGAGTGGCCTTCCAGAGGTGGAGGGAGCTACGAGTCCTGAAAAGATTCAGATCCGATGCGCAGTTGGCCACTTTTCTGCTCGACAAGCAAGTATCTATGCTTGTTTGTTTTAAAAAATAACTACACAACTTGGAGAGCAACGTTTACAACATCACCGGTGATGGCTCAAATGTAACTTTACTGTGTTGGCTGTTGTGCGCGCTCGCTCGCAAACTGGAGTTGATCTACTTGATGCTTATGTTGGTGTAGTATGTTCCAGAAGGCAGTACACTTCATAACTATAATGATGTAAAATGAGAACAAACTCTTGATAATAAATTAATAAAGTTTTTAAATGAGGCGCGGTGCGCACAACCCGTGGTGGAGAGAACAGTCAGAGGGTTTACGCACATGTGCCAGCTCTGAATCGGGCTTATCATAAAACTGCCTGACACCTGAAAAAAACGGTTTGACTCTGATCCCATCCGTGTCGACCAAAGTAGCCTAAAGATTAAATAAGAATTTTGTATTTTGTGCCACACCTGTGCCAAACCTGTGCGCAACCATGATCTCCCAGATCCACCTGACGGGTTGTGGAGGGGGAAAAAAAAAAAACAAACAGCCCATAGTCCTTTACAGTTCCGGGCCAAATGCTCACCTATATTTGCCCCAGAGCAGATAACTTTCCTGTCAGGGTAAACAAATAATTGTGTGGAGTTTGTCATTATTGTTGCTGTCCAAACGCAGCTGGAGTTTGCGCTGAGGGATTCAGGT